TCTTTACTGATTTTCTTCTATTATATTAGCCAGCGTAAAAGATAATAAAGGAAAGCATAAGGAGCTGATAGAACTTACCATAACTTCTGAATCATCTCAAAAATCTGCACACAATCCATCCAATCATCCTTCATTAAACGAAGAAATGATAAATATTGACATTCCTGAATATATTTTATCTCCAACTCCAGTTTCACAAGATCAAGCGTCAGAAGATGCTCAACTTTCAGTATCACAAGATCAAGCGTCAGAAGATCTAGCGCCGGACAATAAAAGAACTTTAACCTATGCCAAATTTACTTTTACAATAATTATTCTCAACAGAAAACTCGACTCTATATACTGTCTCTGTCACTATATCAGTGATCAGCATCAGGAACAAACAAAGAATATCAAAAAGCTAATTATAGCTAATGAATTGTCCAATGATTTTTGGAAGGTACTTATCTTTGGTTATGTTCAAAGCTAAAAATCAATCTACAAAGTATTCATTTTTTTGTATAATAGGTTTATAAGAAGTTATATAGATCTTGAATCAATATATATTATAGTAGTTTAAGCAAAATTATCAGGAGTGTTATAAAAGTTATTATCTTTATCCTAGACTTTCTGAACATATTGTGATAAAGTCTATTGAATATTATATTAAATAAAGAAATTATTATTAGAATTTATAAATCTGTCTTTGAGATTGTATTGCTAATAATACATTATTCATAAACTTATCTTTGGCTTTGTATTGCTAATAATATATTGTTCATATACTTATCTTTAATCTCATATTGCATCAGGTAATATCGGAGAGCGCAGTTCTGCACAGATCTTTGGGTCCAAAGTTTTTCAAAGATCTTCAAACCTGGCAGCGATCTGTGAAGAAAAAAAATAAAAATTTTTGCGCAGATTTGCAATAATACATAGGTCTGTGCAGAATTTTTATTTTTTTTTAAAAAATTCTGCACAGGACTTTGTAATGGCATTTATAACAGTACTTTGTAATAGCATTTATAACAATACTTTGTAATAGCATTCATCTGAAATTTAAAATACTAGCAGAATTGCGGTAAACTTTGAACCTGGCAACGAAAGGCGAAGAAAAAATATTCAGTTTAAAGAAATGCAAATATTTCCGCATGTAGTGGACCAAATTGAATGAATTTGATACTATTAGAAAGGTCTAGTCAAGACGCATCTAATGGTATCAAAATTATTGAATTTGATTCACTAGATGCGGAGATATTACGTCTTAAAAACACCGTACAAAATCGTTCAAAATTATATAAATT